TGATATGATTTTAATCAGATATGATATTCGTAAGCGTGCATTATCCTTGCAAATACTCTAGAAAGCTCCTTTTAAATAACAGGGGTTAAAATAAATCCAATATGACATGGGATTTTAATAAGGAAAAGTGGGGTTTGCTTCACATGATTTAGGGATGAGATAAGAACGGACTGTTTAGATGTCTCATCGCACATAGATGCTTCAAAAGGCCAGCTTATGTTCTATTAAAAGTAACGACATTATTACCATTTGCCAGGGCAATTCTTTAAGCACGTGAGAAATACAATCTTAGTCCACAGCTAAAGAAAAATCGCTTTCATGTGGTTGGCCAATGTCATTTACTTGCTAAAATTGCATCAATTTGGGAATCTTTATTTTACCCAAAAAGAACAATGCCCATTTCAAGCAATATATACTTCTAATGGTACGTGGTTATAAGCCAATTGGGGAGATTGCTTATGCACATGGTATTTTCTTATGGATTAACACTGAAGATTGTTTTGAAGCGCTTTTGGTAATCTATTTGTGTTTTAAATGCTCGGAAAAGAGCAAAAGAAATTACAGCTCTGAGTAGGCTGTTGATACTCAAAATTTTACAAGATATCGGCCCGACCCAAATCGAATAAATACAACTCCACGTATGACCCTCTCTAAAAGAGCCCCAACATAAGCTAAATGACATAACGAGGCCCCCTTTCGCAAAACTTTTTGTCAATAATTTTTGTGGAGAAATTAGGAAAGTATGAAAAGGATTATTTGAGGTTGGTCATTTTATTAAGACATGTAATATCTACTTATAGGCAAACACATGCACAATTAAATATAACACGTTCATGTGAAAGCCTCAAAGGCACTTGAAAAGCATCCCAACTTAAGATAATCATCTATAATTATTTATTTTTTTGTGATAAATTACATTGCTTGAGGAGGGGATGCCCCACATTGCAAGAATTAACACTAATCCTATTATTTAGTGCCATTAAAAGGAGTTTTCTTATTCCTTAAAAAAAATAAAAAAATAAAAAGAAGAGTTTTTCTGTTTTGAAAGACATAAAAAAGTTTAAGAGTTGTTATTTTGGAGTGTAACTTGAGTGTAGTTTTTTAGTTAAATTTGAGTTATAACTTGAGTTGAAGTTATAACTTGAATAAAGTTGAAACTTAAAAGAACGTAAACTTGAATAAAGTTGGAACTCGAATTGTCTTTTTTAAAATTTTTTGGACAAAAGAACATGCCCTTAGTTACTTAATGAGAGAAGCTAATTACCGCTACAAATGTCGTAATTGTTAATCTTTACCTTATTATAGATTATGCCTATAAGGAAATTGTTCATTCACACTCTTCTTAAAACTATTTCAATAAATTTTTTTTAAAAGGAATCATAAATTTATTGAGGGTAAATGATTCTAACAATTATAATTAAATAAAAATTATTCATGCATCTTTAAGGGAAATGGACATTCTTTGCTACATCAACATACTAGTAGGTCAAAATTTTTGTCTGTCAAATATGCATAAAATCATATCAAAATTAAAAAGTACGCAAATCTAATAGTTAAAAAACCTGAAATATCGGTACGCTAGAAAATATACCTATCCTTAATCATATGCAATTATATGATTTTCCTAATTTAGTCAAAGACTTCGTGCGTCAGGTGCACCAATTACCTCCTAATCAAATCTAAAAGACTAATCCATCGTTGTTGAGAACTGTATATAAAATAGACAGTTAATTACACACATTATAATCACAACTAATCATTTATTATTGAAGACCCGCTTTAATAAATCATACGGTTCGCAAATCCAAAATATCGTGATTTGAGAAGCGATAAACTCGGCTTTTTGTATTTTTTTACATTGTATTTTGTACTTGCGTTTTTTGAAGTCAGTAGCTGACCCCAGCCTCCCACCCAACCCAACCAAGTACGTCCCAGCCCCTCCATCGTGTGGGCAACCCTTGTCTACTCTGCCGCTTGATAAAGAAAGAATGGTTGACCCAAGAAGTACGAATATCCAACGGCGGAGATGAAATGCAATAGAAAGTAAAAAATTGAAAAAGAAAAAAAAAAAAAAAACATTGTGCACTAGCAAGTAGCATCAAAGAAGTAAATCAAGAAGCACCAATAAATGGTTAAAGTAAAATGTCTTTCTTTATTCTCACCATAGGTGACGGTTTCAGGTTTTTATATATTTCTTAATTTCATTTCAAAAATTAAGAGTCATTCATTTTATTAGTTCGAATCACAATTTAAATTTTTAATATAATATTTTTTCTCATAAAAACTTAAATTAAACATTTTCAGCTATAATATTATCTCTTGCATAAATTCACTTTTTAACTAAACTTCTTAACTCGAATGAGCGAAATGAATAAAGTCTAAATGCCCATGTGATTGGGTTTGTATTGTAATAGGAGTGAGACAAAGCTAATTTTTTATGCTTTATTGGTAAATTGTTAATTTTTTGTAAAAAATAGTGGTGGCAATTTGAGTCATGACACGAAACACGATTCGAAACCCGTACAAAGTTGGGGGTTTGGGTTTACTATAAATGAGTTTGTGTCATAATTAGTTTGACACGATTAACACGAATTGACACGATTAACTATATGTGTCATCTGGAATCAAATGATGTGTGATATAACATGAAAGTCTATATGACGTATTAAATACAAATAATATGAATGTTAATATTTGTATGCAAAATTCATTTATTTTTCTTAAACGAAAAGATAAATTGACTAATAAAGATGTTAAACTTGTCATGATCGTGTTAAAGAAGTCATTATTATATGAGTTATTTATTCAATATATTAATTTAAACAGGTTATGGGGATTGACACGATTAATACGATTAATAAATGAGTCACGTTTGGGTTGACATTTTTGACATGTTTAATAAACGGGTCATGTTTGGGTTAATGTAATCTGACACAATTAATAAACGGGTTGACACAAACATGACTCACTAACACAAATTATCACCCCTAGATATAAATGAGAGAAAGGGGGACGAGATGACATTAACGATTTGTTTTTTTATTCTTTTATTAAGATAAAAGATGAGCAAATGAAAATATTAAAAAAGGCTATAACAAATGAATATAGCTAGAATGACAATATTATATGTTAGGGGTAAAATCAGCACCAAGATTGCAACTGTAAACGTGGACAACATCTTGTGAAAGAAGGTCGACTAGGATCGACTAGCCGCAAATTGACCTGAGAGACAGAGTAAATTGGAGAAGCACGATGACAGGTGACCTGTGGGAGCATGATAACAAGGGACTCATCGGACCGCCGCAGATAAATCATGAAAGAAAGTTCTTTGGAGGCCTTGATGTATGAATCACCCAAATCTAGTAATAAAGGCATAAATCAGATTAATATTGAAAAGAAAGTAACCACAAATCAAATAAGAAAACAAGATAAGAGGAAAGTCAACTGAAAGAAAGGTAAACTATCTAATTGCCAAATCTAGAGGCCTTGATGTATGAATCACCCAAATCTAGTAATAAAGGCATAAATCAGATTAATATTGAAAAGAAAGTAACCACAAATCAAATAAGAAAACAAGATAAGAGGAAAGTCAACTGAAAGAAAGGTAAACTATCTAATTGCCAACCAACAACACATTAGCTCAAAGAAGAGGCAACTAAAGGATCTTATCTTATAAATAGAGGATTATGATCACGAATTTACATATCATACAGATCTCATATTCCACATTCTGCATATTCACTCCCTCTCTATAAATTCTCTCTCTATCCTCCTCCTCATCCTCTCTCTCTCATTCTTTTTCATCATTGTAATTGTACTTTTACATTGTATATTGAAATTCCGAGACCCTGCAATGGACGTAGCATTTTCATTGAAGGTGAACCACTATAAATCTATGTGTTCATTTAAAGCCCGTTTAATTCGTTGATTTAAGTTTTTAATTCGAGCAAATATATGACTTTATGTGAGAGTTTTTTACTATAGCAAAAAAGTTAGATGTGACTGTTTCTGAGAGTTTTTTATTGTAGCAAAACTCAAATTCTAAACTCGAATTGGTGAAATTAACGAGGCATTACTTTTCTGCACTTTTCGTTCTTGCTCTAACACGCAATCGACTCAAATTGACTCACCAACCGTGATCAATATTCAAGAGCGGTCATTAGCTCTCTAAATAAATTTAATTATAGAATCCGGCCATGCATTGTAAAATTTAACGAATCACACATTTTCTCACGTGATCCAGTAATTATACTGATATCATTTATCATTATTTCTACATTACAAGTGAATTCATAGCAAACCACGTAATATTAATCATTTTACACGAATGACACCAATAACATTATATAACTTAAGAGCATCTTAAATTTAAATGTGAGTATAATAGTATATTTTACCCTAATAAATATAAAAATAATATTTTTAATATGCTATTATTCTAATAACAATGCAGTACCAAATTAGCGTGTTAATAACAAATTGACGTTGAAGTAAAAAAAAAGAAACACCAATATATAATACGAAAATAATGCCTTGGTCTTACGATATATAGGTATACCCTTATCTCAAATACCTATATTATTTCATTGTTTAATTTGTTAATGATAGTGATGATTCTTTAAAAATAATAATAATAATAATAATAATGAGTTGAAGTTGGATTTGTACAGGGGTGCTGATAAATAGGAGGAGATCAGGAGATGTGGATGTGGGGGGGATGAAACGAAAAAGAGAAGGAACACTGACACGCTGGAGGCTCCGAGAAAAGCTCAACTGGGAAGTGGACTTTGATTCGCGATTCCCGAGGCTCTTGTCTCTGCTTTAGTGCGAGTTGGGTGGGCACAGTGCGCACCAATCTCCACTGTCTAAGGAGATCACACACACACACGCACACACACAAACACAAATGCACGTACCAAACACACACACACACACTCTCTCTCTCTCTCCTCTTTCTCTCTCTAGCTCTCGCTTTCCAATTTCTAACTTAAATGCGATCTCTTTCTCGCAGCTTCCTTTACGAAGCTACTTAAAAGCTCAGCTTTCGCTTCCTCCATTTTTTCTCCTCTTCCGTATTTTTAAAGGACACCGGGCTACCATTGAACTGCCATTTCGAAATCCCAAAAACCTCTCTCTCTTTCTCACTCCATAGTTGAGTCGCTTCGAGAATCTTCTTTTCTTCCATTGCAAATTAATGCGAAAAGGCCGTTGATCCGAATTGGAGGCTTGAGCTGTTTCGGATCGGGTTTGGGTAATGGATCCGCTCGCGCTGATGAACGCGGACTCGTTCCCGAACGCCAATGCGGCGTCGTACAACCTGGCGGAGAACTGGCCGTTCCCGATTAACGGCGCCGGCGTCGGAGACCCAGGAGGCGGATTGGGGCTCCGGCGGCCGCAGTTTGGGCAGAGTTTGGCTCCGTTTGGGGACGTTTTGGTCGTCAATCGGGACGTTTCGGGTAATGATCCCATGAGTTTGGACCAGAGAGGGAACCACGGGGGCGCCAGGAAGCGGCGTGATGTGGTGGAAGATGATTCGCCCAAGGGCGTGTCCACTAGTAGTGGCAATGGCGTGGTATTTCCTTCATTTTCAATCTACTTTTAACTTCAAAGCTCTATTTTGAACTTCTTATTGCTAAATACTGTGTAATGCTTTAATCATATGTAATGTTTAGTATGTCTTGCTTAATGTTGTGTGAAGTTGACACTCTAGCTCTTAACATATGTCTATTTGATCTGGATTGATCTTAGAGTTTCTGCAATGTAAATTTTGTAGTTAGTCTATAGTTTCTATTCGTCTCCACTATTTTATTATTGATTTGAACTTATCACCAAGTGCTTTAGAGTAGAGAATGGAATCTGGGTGAATATTTGATTATTGGTGTAAATTACTTTTCAAGTAGTGCAAGTTGGGAGGGAAATTTGGAACGCTCATGATAATGTTCCATCCCTTTTTGTCATTTTTGCAGAATGATTGTGATGGAAAACGGCTAAAAACTTTGGGATGTAAAGAAGAGAATCACGAATCCAAAGCCGAAGCAGAACTGAGTGCAGGCAAGCCTGCAGAACAAAATGCTCGGCCGCCTGAACCGCCTAAGCAGGACTACATCCACGTACGAGCAAGAAGGGGTCAAGCTACTGATAGCCACAGTCTCGCAGAAAGAGTAATTTACTTGAATCCTCCTGAACATGTTGTAATTTTGTATTTGCAAATCATTTCAAGCTAACTTATTAGTAATAGCCGAAATTTTGGGGGAGGTAACTGGACCTTAGATCTAGGCAGAGCAAAATATTTTCTTAGGTAAGGGGTATTGAACTTCTGATCCAGGCATCTTGTATCTCCTTTTATCATATACGTTACTATAAATTAAATGACACTGGATTGAATCTAGATCTATTGAATGAGAATTGCTGATTGGAACCATACGGTGGACAGGCTAGAAGAGAAAAGATAAGTGAAAGAATGAAAATGCTTCAAGACCTGGTCCCTGGCTGTAATAAGGTATGCTTATAGTACTTACTTTTCTTAAATTTATCTCCGAATCATTACTGTAGAATAGTTTTTATTTGCTTGCAAACATATTTTTAGGATTAATCTTGGCCAAAGTTGGAGCCCCTTTTTTGTTTTTCATGCTTAGGTGAGAAATTGACAAAGTTGGAATTCAGTACTTACATGCTACGCCAGTGTGGATATTAGTTACCAGTTTATATTTAACAGGGAATATTTTGAGTGAAAAATGACGTTAAGATGGGTGGTTTTTATTTAGGTTATTGGAAAAGCACTGGTTCTTGATGAGATAATTAATTACATCCAATCATTACAGCGTCAGGTTGAGGTATGTATATCCGCTGCTTTTTTTTCCTTTTTGTTCTTGGTCTCTCCCTCACAGGACTTGAGCTTCAGCCTTACTGTCTACCGGATTTCGCAGTTCCTATCTATGAAGCTTGAAGCAGTTAATTCCAGAATGAATCCGGGGATTGAAGTGTTTCCTTCTAAAGATGTGAGTCCTAACGATATGCTAAGATTCCATAGATCAGATTCTCACGTTTGAATACTATATAACTGGTCTGTATTTTCTTTCATGTTATCCACAATTACTATGTTTGTCACATATAATTCCCCTTGCTTCCAAGATCCTTGACTATATCTTGAATTTTGTTATCGTCTTGTCTAATTTAATATGAGAAAACAAGGATAAAGGGTTGGTATGAGATTTGTCTAGGATGTTGGAGGAAACATTTACAGTCTTTCCTTTTGTAGACTCGCATGTCCCTCATATCCTAACTCTGCTTCGCCGTTCTTTTTAAGTCAATAATTTGCTTAATATGGGTTTTTTCTCCATGGAAATCTATATATATTTTGAATGTATGCGCTTCATGGGAAATATGAGATTTTCATTCTATGCACTTAATGGGAAAAATGAGTCCGGAGTTGTAATTTATTCCATGTTTGATCTGAACAAAGTGGTTGGACTATGTGCAACTCAGGCAAGGTTGACACTTAGGCTTAGTCACTACGTCACAGAGAGACGATTAAAAAAGTTTCCTCCTTTTTTCATGGACTTTCATTCTTTTAACAGGTCAATTTAGCATCTCAATACGGTCAACAAACATTTGAGGCTGCTGGAATGGCATTTGGTTCACAACCTGCAAGGGATTTTAGCCGCGGATCATCGCCAGAGTGGTTACATATGCAGGTTGGTGGCGGTTTCGAAAGAACAACATAGTCAAGAAAAAAACCTCGTCAACTGGTAATAAAAACATGAAAAGGCAGCACTTATTCATTCAGTTGTTGTCAACAAGTATACCCCATTATGGAAAACCGATAGAAAGACCTTTGATCTCATTTTCTACTTCAGGCCTGGAGTTGTTATTGTTGTCTACGAAGACCAACATTTAGTATCGGAATATCTCCCTTTGTTCGTCGTGGAAAATGAATCTTCAGTCCCTGTGTCTCCTAGAAGGCTCCTCCATATTCTTCTCCTTATCAGTACCAAGTATAACACGCTGGAAGGTTATTGATCTTGTAAAACAGAATGTTTCTTTCTTGTTTCTAAATTTCTGATGCTCACATCCTATGTAAACCTTATTTTGACATTGGATTTGTTAAAAGCTGAAGCTGCATTAAATAAATTATCCATTTTGGTGTATTCCCTTCGGTCCTAAGTTGACAGTGAAATTCTTTTCCTCATGTCCTAGTGTTTGAGACGGATCGTTGCTATACATTTTTCCACAGTCGCAGATTTGGAGTAAACTTATCTGTTTAACCCCTAAAAAGTTTCTTATTTACATACAGCTGTAACATAAAAGCCAAATGCAAAATCTTTCTACAGAAATCTTATGCAACATGAAGGTGGTCCAAGAGGAATTATAGAAATAGCTACTAATGAAATTATGTTACTGGTTGTGCTTTACCATAGGAACTTCCTCCCTGATTAAAGTTATTCCCACTTGTTTGGAAATAGGAAAGAGTCGCCCAGATCACACGAAGGAGCAGGATCGCCACGAACACCATGCCTCCAAGGTTGCAGACGACCTGACATCAAAATTTTCACTACTCTGTTAGTACTCAGGTTTCTTCCAAAGTTTACCAACAGAATCAGATTCTTGGACTTATGGACCTTAGGTAATTTTTCAATGGTCAATAGTTTGGTTTTGTCCCTGAGGATTTGGTCAAATCACGAGTGTGATTAGTAAGATTCATTTCATAGGTTCTTGCCTTTCACATAAAATATTACTATATGAGCACACACACGGGAGTTATATCAGCATGCAATTAAGTGAAAATTAAGTACAAAACGACATGTGTTGGAAAGATCAGCACTTGGAAAGCAAATACCTCAAGAAGTGCTTTAACGATAGAAAGTGAAGCCAATAGCAGAAGCCCATCAACCGCAAAAGACACCTAAGTTCCCCATTCGTGAACAAAGAAAGAGAAAGGAAACAAAAGAATTAGCATATCCTTTCTTAATGGCTAGTAACCACTAGCCACTCTGATTTGGTTGGTCATGATATTTGCCTGCGTTGCGTATGCAAATATACAGCTAGAAGATACGAAGCAACAGAAATAAATCCTACACTATAACATAAAGTTGGCTAAAAACAATAAAATAAATGTAAAACAGTGTTCCTTGGTCAATTTATATTTTATAGTTAAATTATTATTGTTTGTAATTATGATGTGGATAACATATCTGCATTATAGTCTCTACAAACCATAAACACACACCTCCAACAATTGAGTTTTTAATTTTAGTTGATACGTGATTTTATGTAAAAATTTTTTACTTTAGTAAAAAAATTAAATGTGATTATTTTTAATAATTTTTTTTTTAATAAAATTTGAATTTTAAACTCATGAACGTGACAAAAATTGCGTTCCTCTAGATCCAAAACATCAGTGATACAGACGACATTTACCACCACGATCAAAAGTTAATTAAAGAACAACGAAACGACCAAAAAAAAAAAAAACCAAACAGCATTACCAACTGGGTCGATATCGCCGGAGGCAAAACAGAGCGTGAGGCCTTCTTGGCGCGCTTGGAGATCTTCTTGACCATGCTCTGCAGAAACCTCACCAACAAATCAACACTGCTCTCCTCCGTTTCCTCTTCTTCTTCTCCTTCATCATCAGTCTCGTCGCCCTCCGCCAGTTCATCGCCGTCGAAAAAGAAACTATCGCCGGCATTAATCTCCCGCGCTTCTTCACTCGTCGAATTGTTCAGCTGAGAACAACAGAAAATGATCCAGACTTTGTGACCTTGTCTGAGTTGTCTTAGAAGAAGAGAAAAGAGAAGAGAAGAGGAGACGAACCTTGCTATGGCGACAAATGCTGATTCTGGGGTTTGTGCGAAATGGGTGGTGAAAAGAAGGGTATGGGAAGTTCGCACGTTGTAGATTGTGGGAGCGTGAGCACAGGAGGTGACCGGTGGTGGTGAAAGTGGGAAATGGGGGTGGTGATAATGTGGTTGTGGTTCCTCCTGCCATTTCGGTACCAGAAACGCTTATCCTATCCGTGATTGAAAAGAGCCTTTTTACTTGGGCTAGGCTTGTCACAGGCCTAACCCGAGTGGGCTTCATTCACGATTAGGAGTCTGAAACATGAGACAAATACCTTGTAAATAATTAAATTAACTAATATATTTTAAAACTATTTAAAATAAATATCAGTAAATTAATAAATTAAAATTTAAGTGACGTAGGATTGTAAAAAGAAAATTTAGGTGGTAGAGAATTTTTTTATCACATAAATCTAATCAATAAAAAATTTATGGGATAAAAAATATTTTTATTACTATTTATTTTAAATAGATTTAATTCTATTTACTTAATTTAATTTTAAAAATATGTTATTTATAATTTCTATTTAAATAGTACCCTTTGGGTGTTTGAGCACAAACATTGGACCATTAATTTTTAGTCAAATAACTTGATAAACACTCTTTAAAAGTGTACAAATCACGATTTTTATCATTTATTCTTGATTCACAATTTTTTTTGTCAAATAATTACATTAACAAAAAGGTATTTATCAATAGTAAAGGGTAAAAGTTTATACTCGTGTACTCTTAAAGGTAAATTCTCAATTTTCTCAATAACAACTATATTAGTTAAAATGATATCAATCAATAATAAAGAGTTAAAATTCATACTCATTTACTCTAAGAATGAGTTAAGCAATTTTTTCTTTTGGGTTTAACATGCCTTTAAAATTCAATACCTTTACATTTATATTATATTAAAAATGCTCTTTTTCAAAGATGTTTGATCATCTTTTTCGAGAAGAACAAAATTATTTGACATGATCTTTCAGGATATTTTTTTAATAAATCTAGTGTTTGTCTATACCGTTTAGGTGACAAAAATATAAAGGTGACATCTTTTAAATTTCATTTCTCTTGCTCTCTCTTTTTTCCTTTTTTGAAATAGATTATAAAAAGAAATTTGAAGAATGCCACAAGACAAATCTCATTATCAAGAGTATGGGGAAGTTCACAAAAGTATGGTATATATTTTCTTAAATTGAATTTTCATTATCAAATCTCAGCTTCATTTGGTAAAAGTTTACGAAAAATATTGTACATATATCTAAACAACAAAGTAATTGACATATACTCTTAGACATATAAAAGTTGAGGCATTCCATTTAATTTTCTTTATCATTAATTATCAAGAGTTTGGGAATTTTTTTTTCTCTCTAAAGATTGAAGGAGATTGGAGGAAATGAAAATGAAAAAAATAGCTTATAATGGACCGTCCCCACTCACCATATCATACATGCATTTATTATGATACCTATTGTCATGAAAAAATAGAGAATTTACTCTTGAAAATACATAATTATGGAACTTTATCGTTTATTTTTGATAAATATAATTTTATTAGTGTAATTATTTAATTAAAAATATTATGAATTAAAAGTAAAAGGTAAAAATTATGACTCACATATTTTTAAGAGATATTTATTAAGAATATTCTAGTGTCATTATCTACAGGAGAGCTTCTCCATCTCTAATGTTTGATATGTAATCCTAACGAAAATGAACCCACTGAGACAGCCAAGAAAAAGAAAAAAAGGCCCTTTCTCTCTCCCCCAGACAAAAGAATACAAATTAGGTTTAAAAAAAAAAAAAAGAATACAGATTAGAAGTTTTCCGTTCTCATTCTTTTTGTTTTTAATCAAGTCTCTACTCTTAACATTCGTCAAAAAAAGAAGAAGAAGAAAACACTCTACTCCTAGGGGATTGGAGGCAGAAAAATCTAACGAAAGAGAGGAGGTAAAAGTTTGTCAACGGCCACAAGAAAACGACCACGACGACCTCTGCGTTTCTCCAACTATTAAAATCTCATTTCCTAATAAATTGGCGGTTATAATATAAAATTTAAAAATGAAATAAAAGATAAAAAAAACCCCAATTGTCCGGCACATTTAGAACTTACTGTACATTTAAAAAAAATGGTTGTTAGTTATGTTGAAAAAAACAGTTATTACAAAAAAAAAAAAATTTGAGTGTTTGATAAATTATAATCTTATAAATATTAATTTTAGAGGTATTATAAGTATTATAAAAATTTTATTAATTGTACTTTAAGATGATTATCGCATAATATAAAAATTAAAATTATTTTTAAGTTGTTTCTGATTTTAACTGTAAATTTTTTTTAAATTTTTTAAAAATCATTTTTTATAATTTTTATTAAACACAAATTTCAATATAACTAGAGAATTAATTTTGAGCTTCAATAATCACTACCATTCCAAACATACTCTTAATTATCAAAAAAAAAAAAAAAGAAAAAAACAGCCGCAAAAACGGCGTCGTGTCCACTACCACGGTCGTGACATTAACCAGTCATCTTTCGCACTTTTGCCAACGCCACTCTCCCACCCGCGCGTTGCCATCGTGGCAACCAGGTGGCGATCGTCTAGGACCCCTCATGATTGGGTCCCACCGCTATAGAAGGCCGTCAGACTGCAGCCCACGCGCTAGCACGAACGTGGGAGTCAATAAATCCGCTGTTAATTTTAAAAAGGATAAATTATAAAACGCAAGAGTCACGCGGCTTGAGGAACAAACAAAGAAGCAAAAAAAAAAAAAAAGAAAAAAAAAAAAAAAAAAAAAAAAAAAAAAAAAAAAAAAGAAAAAAAAAAAAGAAAGAAAAAAAAAAGAAAATCAAAGGAGGGGGTGTTGAAGGCACACACTTCCCTTCCTCTTTCTCTCTGTTTCATCGTAAACGAAGAAGAAACGCTGCAGCCACAGCCACAGCCACCACCGCCACCATCACAGCTGAGAGAACAGAGAATCCGATCGGAGAATATTCGGTCGAACGGACTCGTTCTGAGTTGGATCGGGCGAGTTCCGCCGCGAAGATGAGCGGATGGGAGAGGCTGAGGCCGTCGACGGTGAGGCTCGGTCGCGATTCCAATTCCGGCGGCAACATCAGCATGGGCGAGCGCATTCCCTCCAGTCGGACCGTTCGGCTCGGCCGAGTCCAGCCACAGGCCCCTGGCCACCGCACCATTTATTGCAACGATCGCGACGCCAATCTCCCTGTCAAATTCAAGGTTTCGCCTCTTTCTTTTTCTTTTTTCTTTTCTTTTTTTTTGAAAATTTTCGTATTTCTTTTGCTTATGTTTGCTTTCCGAGAAGTTAGGCAGCGAAATAAGAAAGAAAATATTGGACTTCTACGGTTGCTGAAACGAGTTTATTGCGTTCATTTCTTAGAATCTGAAATAAATTTTGAGTCACGAGATTTTTTTTAGAGGTTTATTGTTAAGTAAGGATTTGACATTGATCTTTGTGCGCTATTAAGCTGGAAACTCAGGCTTATTAGAAGGAACAATGTTGAAGCAGAACAAATGATATCTGTTAAAACTTAAAACTAGATTAGGCCCATTTTGATGAATAATTGACTGTAGTTTGTTCCCATTATGTTATAGACGTGTTTGCAGTTTGTTCCGTTATTTTGCGGTTACCACTTTAGTGGTTTTCTTCTGGGTAGTTGAGCTTAGTCTCCTTCATCTGGGTATTCTTTAATTGTTTCTTTGAGCTGATAAGGATGTTCAATTGTTTGTCACGTTTAAGAATTGATTTTCTATACTTGTGATGTCCGTTTGCATCTGGCTTCATTGCTTGATTTTGTCTTGGTTTGCATCTTTCAATTGTCTCAGGGGAATTCTATATCAACGACAAAGTACAGCTTCTTTACTTTTTTGCCAAAAGGACTGTTCGAACAGGTAATTTACTTAAAAACCTCTTGCCAATGTGGAATAACTGGTTTATAGCTCTGTGAACCTCATTTTGAATGTCGAGTTATGGTTTATGGCGTCCATTTCTGTATCATTATTTTAGTAAAATATTTTGCACGATTTTGGTTTCGGTTACCATATATGTGTTTGAATCTTATATTTACTAGGTTAATGTGTAATATTTGTTGGTGGAGAAGTTAAATAGATTAGGTTATCTTGATGCGTGCTTGCTAAAGGGATAGACCATATAGGATTTCTAGATACTTTTCTCCTACCTAATGGTTGCAAAAACGACTTCAAACTTGAGTTAAAGTTTAGTATGTTAGTGGGTTTGTGGTTGTTGTTAGTACCTTCTTGTCCAACCCCTGATTCTATTTTGGTCATGTCCCTGATGAAATTCTTTGCTTAAACCAACAGTTCAGACGGGTAGCTAATCTCTACTTTCTTACAATCTCAATTTTATCAACAACGCCAATCAGGTATGTAGTACTTACTTCTATTAGCCTTGCTGTTTTGCTTTCATGCTACTTCCAGAATTGCTTTTAACGCCAATCATGATTGGTTTGTCGAAAACCTCAAATACTTTTCTAATAATGCAGTCCTGTGAGTCCAATAACGAATGTGCTCCCCTTGAGCTTGGTGCTTTTTGTTTCTCTTGTTAAAGAAGCGTTTGAGGATTGGGTGAGTACTGCACTAATTGTGTATTGTATTGTTTGTGTGTTTGTGTGTGTGTGTGTTTCTCTCTCTCTTTCTCTATATATATATGTGTGTGTGTGTGTATATATATATATATATAATTATACTGGTTTTGGTTATTGGTTGTACTCTAAAGAAGATTCCTCATACTTTCTTTTCTTGTTTTCCTTACGTGAAACAGAAACGCTTTCAGAATGATATGTCAATTAATAATAATCCTGTGGAAGTGTTGCAAGATCAAAAGTGGGAAACTATTCCATGGAAAAAATTGCAGGTTGGGGACATTGTAAGGGTGAGTATGCAGCAATAATGGAGAAATGCTTAGTAATTATAATGTATTTCTTTGGAATTCTTTCTCCGACTTCCAAACATCAGGAGATTTCGTTTCTTTCTAGTATTTTCCTTTGTACATAGGTATGTTACGCAAGCTCTAAATAGACACTGACATTTTGGTTTGGTTGCAGATAAAGCACGACGGATTCTTCCCTGCAGATCTGCTTTTTCTTGCAAGCACAAACGCAGATGGTGTCTGCTACATTGAGGTTGCTTATGTTTTCCTTTATGGCTTTTCACCTTCTTTTGTCATAATTTTTTTCCCCCAAGAGAAGTCTAATGTTGCTATATAATCAACCACACAGCTAAACTGACCTTTTCTTTTGTATTTTGTTTGCTTGTGGCTGCTCGGTTGCAGACTGCAAATTTGGATGGGGAAACCAATTTGAAGATCAGAAAGGCATTGGAAAAGACTTGGGATTATTTGACTCCTGAAAAAGCATCAGAATTTAAAGGTAACCCGATTTTGTTTATCTAACTTCAGTGACTGATATAACATGATTTAAGTTCTTGCTCCCACCCTTTATTTTGTAGCTTTGATAGAGCTTTCTAGAGAAGATATTTTAACTGCAACCACTACTTTAAAGCAGTGGGGTTGAAGGATGGTTTTTCATGGTTACTTATGATGTATGAAACATTTTATTATTTTTTATTTCATCTAACAAGCATACTTTTCTGGTTGCAGGCGAAGTGCAGTGTGAACAACCAAACAATTCATTATACACTTTCACGGGCAATCTCATTATTCAGAAGCAAACATTACCTCTCACGCCAAACCAAGTTCTGCTGAGAGTAAGATATGATCCCTACCCCCTGCCCTCTCATTTCGTCTTTCTCAATTTTAGGGTTATACATTGGACAGGAAAACCAGTAAAATAGTTCTTTTTTGGTCTTAAATGTTCTTTGGAGGGCCTGATATGGGTGGAAAATGTTTCTCAAGTGATTGTATAAGTCTGTAACTTTTAAGCACAAATCTGGAGTGGCTTTCTTGTTGGTTTTTGTCCCTAATAATCTTGTAGGCTTTGGTCTTTAGACTGATTTAATTTCTTCCTTTCATGTAACACTGCATTGGGACTTTGTATTTTCAGGGATGCAGTCTAAGAAACACCGAGTACATTGTTGGGGCTGTTCTTTTCTCAGGTCACGAAACAAAGGTTTGTCTTCATATACTTATTACTGCCTATTTTCATTTCAGACCCATTTCGTTTTATGACATTTCTGTAAATCTAATTGCAACTGGATATCAATTTCCCTGGTATTTTGACGTAAAACATTCTCCTTTAGTCCTTTTTGCTTTTTGTTCTCTTGGGGTTGAAGATGACGCGACCTCTTTAGATTGTACATAGTTCTTATCCTTAATACTAGTTTTTTTTTTTTTTTTTTTTTTTCAAGTAAATAAAACACTATTTTCTGCCGCTGTTTGCTGGTATTAGTTGTTTTTCTTGTTTGCTTTTACAACCAGATTGCAATAAGTTGTAGACTTGCATTGTCTTTCAGTTTCTGACAGCTCTTGTAATTTGGGGTAGTTTGACGATGCATTGTATTTTCACAGGTTATGATGAATGCCATGAATGTTCCTTCCAAAAGAAGTACTCTAGAGAGGAAACTCGACAAACTCATCCTTGCACTGTTTGGTACTCTATTTGTCATGTGCCTAATTGGAGCGATTGGCAGGTTTGATGATTGCTAGTCTAACTTTAAGATTGTCCCAAATATTTGTTTGGAGTTTCCAGCATAACAATGTTTATATCTCTGATATTCTGCAGCGGTGTATTCATTGATCGCAAGTACTTCTACTTGGGTCTTAATGTAGATGTTGAGAATCAGTTCAACCCTAATAGACCTTTTGTGGTAACACATTTTTTATTGAAGTGGAACAACTACTATAACATGGTTTTTCTTTTTTTGGTAGTTGCTTCTTTGTTGATCATTTGTTTTATTTTTTGCCTGCTAATTATGTTTTGTGGTGACAGGTTGCTATTCTTACTATGTTCACTCTTATTACTCTATATTCAACTATCATACCTATCTCTCTGTATGTTTCCATTGAGGTAGGCTCTTTACTTTGTATAGTTGCCTGCTCTAGCAACGCCCAATAGTCCTGATGGCTTCACACACAATTTATTTATCTTAATCTTTTTTTCTTTTTGCAATTTCAGATGATCAAATTTATTCAGTCCACCCAATTTATTAACAAGGACTTGCATATGTATCACGTCGAAACCAATACCCCTGCATTGGCTAGGACTTCCAATTTGAACGAGGAACTGGGACAGGTAACGTTGCTGCCATATCAAGCTCAATGTTTATTTTAATTCTTATTAGGCAAGAGAAATGATAAGACTATGATCATTGGTTAACAGAGGAAAGATTTTATCTTCTGCATTGTCTGGAGCAATGCTAGTATCATATTTCTACCACTAAATCTGTATAATGATGCTACTGTGAGGGATTTTTGTATCATGTTTAATTGCAAATTTTCTCAGGTGGAGTACATCTTTTCTGATAAAACTGGAACACTAACGAGAAACTTAATGGAGTTCTTCAAATGTTCAATTGGAGGAGATGTTTATGGCACTGGTGTCACTGAAATAGAGACAGGAATATCACAGCGGAGAGGCATTAAACTTGAGGATGTATGATTCTTTCTCATATATAGCTAGCACAGGCTAACATATATAGGTGTATTATGTACATATATTCGTAGATTTTCCTGTGCAATTTCATATACATATTCACCCATGAAGACATAAGTCCTCTTGAAGCAATTTCATTCAATCTCATTTACTTGTTACAGTGTCAAAAGTCAACCAACGTGGTGCAAGAGAAAGGATTCAACTTTGATGATCCCAGGCTTATGAGGGGAGCTTGGAGGAATGAGCCTAATCCTGATCTTTGCAAGGTAAAAATAGTGGTGTCTACTTTTGCTTGTATAGACTAATTACTAAATAAGTCTGAAGATTTTTAGCATTTCAATTTTCAAGTACTAGGCGTTTCTTTTCTTTTTTCTTTTTTTTTTTCTTTTTTTTTTCCTTACCTTTCTGAACTACCTCTAGTAGTTGAGCCACGTTTACAATTGAGATAAAGCCAATAATTTGGTCAGTACGTTGGAACTGCTTCCCCTTTCCTTTGCTGTTGGGGAGAGATTTGTCATGCAGATTGCTACTTAACAAGAAAATTTTCTTTAAAATCTTTTGATAGTTGCTCATGATTAGAGCATATGGCAGCTTTCAATGGGCTCAATCTGACTAATAAATATTGTTTTTATTTAGGAATTTTTCAGATGCCTTGCTATATGTCATACTGTGCTTCCTGAGGGTGATGAGTCTCCGGAGAAAGTTACATATCAAGCCGCATCACCAGATGAAGCTGCTTTGGTAACTGCTGCAAAAAACTTTGGCTTCTTCTTTTACAGGTTTGAGCTTCCAAATTCTGTTTGCTTAAATCAGCCAGCTGTAACTCTTTTAAGTTTCTTCTTTTGATACCAAGTTGTGTACGACTCTGATGTGATTGTTCCCTTGGAATCAGTTTTTGAATCCTCTTCGTATTTATTGGAAGATTTGCCCCTCAACCTTTTTTTGGTCAATGCACTTATGGGTTCTGTCCCCAGCATCACGTGTGTAATGCTGAGGGCAAATTCAGTTTGGCTATAGAAAATAATGTCACAAATTTTGATTGTTTTTCAGTCAATTAATGCAACTTCCAATGTTTGGAACGTGGCTTCTTGGTTGTGGTTTTGGCTTTCTCACAAGTTTATCTAAGACAGTTTCTATTGCCAAAGATTTTACACAATTTGGCGTTGATGTTCTCTCTATTCTCAGGCGTACTCCTACAACGATATATGTTCGGGAGTCTCATGTTGAAAAGATGGGTAAAGTCCAAGATGTTTCATATGAAATCCTAAATGTCCTTGAGTTCAATAGGTAAGACGCATCACTGTGTACATCAGTGGACAGTAAACTATGATCCACAAAACTAACATAGTTACAATCTCTGTTGCACAAATAGTACAAGGAAGCGCCAATCCGTTGTTTGTCGATATCCAGATGGCAGGCTCGTACTGTACTGCAAGGTATTACTTTCTTGAGGCGTCTTTGGTGGATTAACATGTTGATCAGTTAGAGTGACATTCTGTCAGGAAACTGTTTGACAGGGTGCTGATACTGTAATCTATGAGAGATTAGCTGATGGTCAAGATGATATCAAGAAAGTATCTAGGGAGCACTTGGAGCAATTTGGATCTTCTGGATTACGTACGCTTTGCTTGGCTTATAGAGATTTAAGTTCTGATATGTATGAAAGCTGGAATGAGAAGTTCATCCAGGCTAAATCTTCTCTACGTGATCGTGAAAAGAAGTTGGATGAGGTAAATTTTGTTGAACCTGTGCTTCTCAATCCATCTACCATCAATAACTTTTAACTTCTATCAATTATCTGTATGTACCATGTACTATACAATTTTGGGCCAAGTTTTAAAAAAGAAGCAAAAAAAAAAAAAAAGGAGGGAGAGAAGCGAATTCTGTGAGCATTTCGTCATAGTCCCCTATGAGGTACTAGTGAAAGAAGAATCTTATGATATAGTTGGATAAAGGGGGTTCTGTACAAGCATGTATGGTATTAGATGGCTATCTTGGTAATATATAATTCCTGTAAAGTTTCTAATATTTGCTTTTGTTGTGTTTGAAGTATAAGTGCGTCAAGATTTTTGAAAAAGCTTTTATGACCTCATTTAGAGGCTTTGCGAGATCCTTGTTATAGACGGGTTTAGTTTTGTGTTTTACGCGTACTTTTTCGAGTTTGTTGGTTATGTTGCTCTATTATATGATATACATACTTTGTTTTAGGATTTCATTGAGATGCGCATGAAGAGGTTGAAAACTGATTATGGATTCATGCAGGTGGCAGAAATCATAGAAAAGGAGCTAATTTTTATTGGGTGTACTGCCATTGAGGATAAGCTTCAAGAAGGAGTTCCAGCTTGCATAGAGACTCTTTCAAAAGCTGGTATTAAGATTTGGGTGCTAACAGGGGACAAGATGGAAACTGCAATTAATATAGCTTATGGTAAGTCAATATTGCAAGGGTAGTGGTGGTACTAGTACTTCTATATAATCCAGTACCTCTATATAATCTATATTTTTCCTTTTCCTTTTCTCTACCACTTATTATTTCCTTGGAATTTTTCTTACTGTTTTTTTTGTGTTCCTAAAAAATTGTTTCAGCATGCAATCTTATCAACAATGATATGAAACAATTTATCATCAATTCGGAAACTGATGCAATTAGAGAAGTCGAAAACAGGGTAACAGCATTTTCTTTCTTATGCACTTTAATTCTGTCTCATGTAGCATTTCTTGCTTATGCAATACTTTAAATTCTGTTTCTAGGGTGACCAAGTGGAAATTGCGCGGTTCATTAAAGAAGAAGTCAAGAAGGAGTTGAAAAAGTGCCTTGAGGAAGCACAACACTTTCTTCACACAGTGGCTGCACCAAAGTTAGCTCTTGTAATAGATGGGAAATGCTTGATGTATGCATTAGACCCAAGCTTACGAGTGATGCTACTAAATTTAAGTTTAAATTGTTGTTCAGTGGTTTGCTGTCGAGTTTCTCCTCTGCAGAAAGCACAGGTGATCTTTCCAATGGCAGCTAAATAGTAGCATTATTTGATTGAGCGTAGAGAATATATTGAAACTTGAATTTGGTTTATCAAGTGAATTTCGTTATAGAAACTTGATATATCATGCAAGGCTGTAAGCATTTTTATGCTGCATCACACTAGCATGTCTTTCTCAAACATGACCTCTTTGAAGATTGATTTTGTTATCTATTAGCATGTATTAATATGCCTACGCGTGTCCTAAAGTTTACATGTGCAGTCAAAAGCCTTTGTCCTTTGAAATACTCTTGTTATCATAAAAAATGTTATTACATGTGTGGCGGAGTGCTGACTTGTTACCAAGACCGTTTCTTGCTTTTGATGTTGCACACAAAATGCTTCAGTTTAGGATTCAATCATTTTTCTTAGATTTATTAAGTGCACTACTGCATAGCTAGGTTGAATTGACTTTCTTTCCACCCATTTTTCCTCTTGCTTGAACAAGCTTAATTGACTTTGTATCCAACAAGAATCAACTAGGTTTTGGAATTGACGATTGGTTTGTTACTTTAGTTAATTCAAGGTAGTGCCTTAAGTATTCTCTCTGCTTACAGGTTACGAGTCTGGTCAAGAAAGGTGCAAAAAAAATAACACTTAGCATTGGTGATGGTGCTAATGACGTTAGTATGATTCAGGCCGCTCATGTTGGCATTGGAATCAGTGGACAAGAGGGCATGCAGGCGGTGATGGCTAGTGATTTTGCAATTGCCCAGTTTCGTTTTCTTACAGATTTACTTCTTGTGCATGGACGGTGGTCGTATCTTAGGTTATGCAAGGTCTGGGTTTTCAGTGTTGATTGAATATGTTGAAATTAATCTTGGTCGTCTGTGGTTGACCATTTGTAATTCCAAATTGCAGGTTATTACATATTTCTTTTACAAGAATCTTACTTTCACTCTGACTCAATTTTGGTTCACCTTTCAAACTGGATTTTCTGGTCAAAGATTCTATGACGACTGGTTTCAATCATTGTATAACGTCATATTCACAGCCCTGCCTGTGATCATGGTTGGGCTTTTTGACAAGGTATTCCATTCTTTTCCGCCTCTATTAACTCCCGCCTAAACTGTGGAAGCTGTGAGCATAATAATTTTACATCGTTCCTTTTGCTTTGTTGAATACATACTTGAGATAGTGACTGGGTATCTATTTCTACTATGTTTGAGATGAGAATTCTACTAATTGTTTGTTTGCATTCTTTATCAGGATGTCAGTGCATCTCTTTCCAAGAAATATCCTGAAATATACAGGGAGGGGATAAAAAATGTCTTTTTCAAATGGAGGGTTGTGGCAATATGGGCCTTCTTTTCTGTCTATCAATCTCTTATCTTCTTTTACTTCGTGAGCGTTTCAAGTTCAAATGCTCAAAATTCCTCTGGCAAGATGTTTGGTCTTTGGGATGTCAGCACAATGGCCTTCACCTGTGTTGTAGTGACAGTCAACCTACGGCTTCTTTTGATGTGCAATTCAATTACAAGATGGCATTACATTAGTGTTGGAGGAAGCATTTTGGCGTGGTTTTTATTCATTTTCATATACTCGGGCATTATGACTTCATATGATCGACAGGTGGGTTTTCATTTTCCTAGTCTTTTTTTTTTTTTTCCCTGCTGAGAGTTTTGTCATCTCCCAAAATTTCCTATTAAATATTCGAGCCATTGACACTCCCATGGTTTTTTTTTTCCTTTTTCAGGAAAATATTTTCTTTGTTATTTATGTCTTGATGAGTACATTCTACTTCTACTTGACACTTACACTTGTTCCTATTGTTGCGCTTCTCGGCGACTTCATCTACCAGGGGTAAGAAAATGAGGTTCTATATCAAAGATTTGCTAGTTTCATTGTCAAGATTCGCCTCCATTATGTACTGCTAATTATTTTGTTTTTAAATGATTATATAGGGTTCAGAGATGGTTCTTCCCATATGATTATCAGATTGTTCAGGAAATTCACATGCATGAGCCCGAAGGTAGAACTAGAACAGAATTGCTAGAGATTGAAAACCACCTCACCCCAGATGAAGCCAGGAGCTATGCCATAGCTCAACTCCCAAGAGAGTTGTCAAAACACACTGGCTTTGCTTTTGACTCACCTGGGTACGAGTCATTCTTCGCTGCACAGCTTGGTGTGTTTGCGCCGCAGAAAGCGTGGGATGTTGCTCGCAGAGCCAGCATGAAGTCCCGTCCGAAGATAGGGCAGAGGAAATAAACTGAAAGAGGACACTCTTGTATAAAAGAATATTCATTTTGACAGTCAGCCGTAGAAAAATTTGTAAATTTAGCTCGTGCCATATTCTAGTTTAGTTTTTGTTTTACATATATACATATAGATTCTCTTTTTTGTTCCACTTTCAAAATCTGTTTTCGTACTGTTGAGGAACTAGTTGTGCCAGGTTTCTCAAGAGTGTACATTTACATTAGATAAACTCCGAGCTTTTTTTTTTTTTTTTTTGTTTTTTTTTTCTCGGTGCAAGTTGACCTAATTTGTCCTTCAAGTTGTATATGATTCTATATTCATTGTGGCCTAGTTAGAAATCCTACCATTTCCCAAGATAAGATCGATAATGTTGTTGGTTTTAGCTGCAGCTTAGAGCACCTTTTTTTGTTTTTAACTTAAGACTCTACAGCACCTGTTTGTTATTTAGAATCTTTTTTTTTTAAAAGAAAAGGAAAAAGAAAAAGACACTGTAAGTACTTGATTTTTCATCCTTCTTATACTTCTTTACCTGCTGGAAGTTGCATTCACGCTTCAGCTATTACTGAAAGCTGTTGCTTGAATACAAAAAAAAAAAAAAAAAAAAAAAAAAAAAAAAAAAAAGGAAAAAAAAAATTAAGAACCCTGCTCTTTTTAATTTCACGACTGAAGTAAGAACTTAATGATAATCATCTTCATAAGTGCCTACAAACAACTTGGCTAGTTTTTCTGAGACTGCTGGTTGTCACTTGGCCGTTCTTCAACTCTCTTGTAGTTATTATCACTTTCATAATCAAATAATGACGATCAATAATATTAGTCAATAACAGAGCCAGCGTTCCAATTCAATAGGAGCATACACTATTTTTTTTGACCAAGTAATAACATGAAAAATATAGAATAAAAAAGGCACAATATTTTTCAATAGCTACAAAATAAATATATAAAAAATTATAAAATATATTACAATAGGAAGGACGAGTTTTCATCTTTTGTAATTCTCTAATTTTTTTACTAAAAAATGTAGTATCTGATTTTATTTTTAAATATTTCCACATTACTGTAATAAAAGAAAATTTTAATAAATTCCAATAAGTTATTTTATTAAAAAGAATGGACCTTCTCCGGTATTCAAATATACCGGTATGTCAGGTTTTTAGTCCATCAAATATGCATAAAATCACGTAAAAATCAAAAAATACGCATATCTAACGGTTAAAAATATAGTCTATCAGTATACCATGTGTACCAAAGAATCTCTCTAAAAAGAATACCAATAAGTTACAATCTTTTCCTTTTTTTTGGCTAAAACTAAATTTTTATTTAACCAAACGATAACCTATCCAACGGCGCACAGATACAAACTACAAAAGGCAACGACACAGAAACAACTGAAAACAAACAACAAAATCAAGCTAAACAACTAGACGTAAAACGCAGGCTCAGGTGACTAAAAAGTTAGAAAATAACTTACAAAAATAGAATATACAACTAAAACTGGCACAACATCATAGAATTAAGTAATAAAACTTACAATCGTTTGACAATTTACATATCTTATGATTAAAAAAACCACTTAACAATCATTTTGATTTATTTTCCTTTCTTACAACTTTTTCATTCACAAGGGTAGGATGGATAAAAAGTCGAAAACTAAAGAGTAAAATAAAATAATGGAGACATGCAAAGAATATATTATTTGAGTGGGTGGTGTAAAATCACCAAATTTTGAGAGATAACATATTTTTCAAAAAAATTTGAGTGGGGTCTCCGCCACTGATTACAATTAAGAATGTCTTCAACCATTTTTTGACATTATTCTCTCTTTTTTTAATCTTTAATCCTGATGAGGATAATTGAAGACTGTTTATTCATTTATTTAATTATTTCTGTTTATCACTTAGAATGCTAAAAGTATGAGGTTGGTTACACTTGGAGAGCTATTTTTATTTTGGAATTTATGCTTTTTATTTCTCTCTGTAATTCTCCCGTTATAGTATTCCCTGGACACCATACTCGATATAGAAAAAGTGAAAACAATAAAATATCAAGACAAAATACTTTTGCAAACAAATTGCAAATCACATTATCACAACAAAACTTGAAAACGGCTATTAGAATTAAAGACGACATATAAACGACAGTAATTTGTCAGACACAAAGAAAAGGACAAGAAACGTGCAAAATCCAATGAAGCTTGAAAAGGGCTACTGAAAATCAAGACGACATTAAAACGTAATAATACAAGAACACATGAGAACGACAAAAATTCACAAATGAATAAATGAATGCATAGCAAACAAAAAAAGCAAACGACAATCAATACGGCAAGCCGACAAACCACAAGAAATATGACAATAAATGCAGTAATTACGAGAAAAAGAAAAACTGAAAGAACAGTAAACTATCAAAATGACAACAAATTTTGAAAACAAAAGGAAAACGACTAACAAACTTTGTAAACGGCTATCAAATCTTTTAACTTGAGAAAATGTCCTTTTTTCCTTTTTCAAGGGGGAGCAAAGAACTTTATTAACGGTAGTTCTAATCATGAAACTATATCATTAACAATGGAATAATTATAGATCATCAATTTGTCCACATGATATATGGATATTTTACACTATACGCAAGTATAACCAACTGAAGAAAAGAAAGAGCAACAAAAATTGGAGGCAAATATCCTCTGCCAACTGAGTTCAACGTGTTGTGCCAAACGTTGAATTAAACAGATTATAGGATAAAATATGAATAACCGAAAAAATTCAAGAAACACCAAGAATTAACATAGATTCGGCTTTTAGTCTACATCCACCAACGGAAACGGCGAAGAAATTCCACTATAACAAAATGGAGATTACAAAACATTTGCGCTCTTCCACGAGTCTCTTGCACACTTGTTTCCACTTGATCACAAGAGTATTCAGAATTAACGTTATCACCCTCTTCAAATGTTCTGAAAAACTTTGCTAGTTTTTCGGAAATGGATTGTTGGCTTTCATCCAACGACTCTTCATCACCCTCATAATCATCTTCTCCTTCATAAACCAAATAAACACCCCACTTTTTCAGCTCAACACCTTTCATTAATGGCGGGTTTCTCTTTGTTACCAAAATCTGATATCCATTTTTCAACTGGGAAACCAAAGGGTGATCGGGCGGCTACCGACACAAGTGAAGTTGATCTTCGCCCTTATTCGGTACTCCATTCAAGTTAAAAACCGTGGTGAAGATGGGAAGACCTTGTTTGAGGATCTGTGCTTGAATGTCAACTATCCCAGGAAAGTTATGTCTGGAGTCATCTTGAATTTGATCGTTGAGAGATACAACTACACCTATAGTTACGCCTCGGAGAGGACTATTCCTGCGTTCTGTGAATGTGACCACATCTTGACACAGCCAATCTGGGATCTTGCTTCCTGGCATGCTAAGATTCCTTATTTTCCTCAAAGAGGCCTGCAACAAATTTGAAGGAACTTATGGAGTTCATTTTTCTTCTTTCTAAAGTTTCTAAGCAGAGGCTTAATCTAAAGGGTTAATTATTTTTATAGCTCCAAAAAAAAAAATAAACTCATGAGAGAGAGAGAGAGAGAGTGAGAGAGAACCTTAGCAAGTCTTTTCTTAGTTACCAAGGAGCAAGTATTGCAACAATTCATGTACAACCTTTTTAAAGACTTCAAGCATTCAAGGCCAGGAATATCCTCAACTTTCTCACAGTTTGTAAGGTTCAATTCCTCTAAGCTTTCCAAGTTTGAAAGATCAGAAATATTCTCCAATTGAGTACAGTATGCAACATCCACCTTAACCAAACTCGAGGGAAGTGGAGGAAGGGACTTTAGCTCTCTACAATGAGGCAGAAGAAGTTCTTTAAGAATTGACATGCCCCTTAAGCTGGATGGGAGGCTGCAGAAATTGTTGTTGCCAAGTTTTAGAAGCTCTAGAGATGCCAACTTCTCAAAATCATCAGGAATTTTACCAGATATTCCCCTGGTGCGAGCATCCAATTCACTCAGTGAGGATAGATTCGAGAAAGAAGTCGGAAAAAAAGAACATTTTTGTGAACTGTGAACCACAGGTGTTCTAGTTTCATTGCTATCTAGCACTTGAGGATTCTTCGAAATGTTCAATACCATTAAACTTGAGAGCATACCAAAGCTTTCGGGTAATTCTGTCACTGCAGTATCCGCCATCAGCAGGCGGTGCAAGGACTTTAATTTTCCTATTGAAGCTGGAAGCTTATGTAGCTCTCTACAAAAGTTGAGTCTCAGCACTATTAGGTTCTCTAACATACCAAATGATTCTGGAAGCTCCTTGATTTTAGCTTCATGAATTACCAAAGTAGTAAGAGACACTAAGCTGCCAATTGACTCGGGCAACGATCTAAGAGATCCACATTTCCACATCTGAAGCTTCTTCAGTGATTTCAGTTCTCCAATCTGATCAGGCAGATCAGTGATTGATGTCTCATCTATCTGAAGCATCACAAGAGAATCTAATCTTCCCATTGAAGGAGGCAATTCTGCGGGGAATTTGCCTTTCCCCAGCGATAAATCCTTCAAATTCGGTAAGAAACCGATACAAAGAGGGAGTTCTTTTATTGGACTTGCCAAAACAGAAAACTCTGTCAACAACTTGAGATTGCCAATGGAATCAGGAAGTACAGACAATGAGGCACACCACATGACACTTAGCTTCTGAAGGTTTTCCAGAGATCCAATGGAGTCTGGCAATTCTTCTAATCCAGATGCATTAAGAGAGAGTTCTTTCAGAGAACAGAGCTTTCCTATGCAATGGGGTAGTCTCTTTAATTGGCTGCAACGGTTTAAGATAAGCTTCTCGAGTTCGGTCAGGTGGAAGATAGATTCCGGTAGGCTTTCTATTGCAGTCTCATCAACTAGAAGCTCTTTCAAAGATCTCATGCTGCCTAAGTTTTCTGGAAGTCGTTTTAATTTTGAGCAGCCAGAGAGAATAAGATTCTCAAGCCGTTTCAATCCGGACATATCGGAAGGGAAATCAATAAGATTTGAACAAGCTGTTAGGTTCAAGTGAATCAGCGTGTTCATATTCCCTATATATTCATCAATCTTAGTCAGGCTTACACAATGCTTGAGGATAAGCTTTTCCAATTTCTGATTTCCGGATAAATTAGGAAGAGCAGCCAGATAGTAGCAATCACTGAGGTTCAATATCTTTAAATTCTCAGCCACCTAAAAAAATATAGCAAAACCTTAAAAAAAAAAAAAAAAAAAAAAAGAAACTCGAAAAACAAACAATGTCAAGTAATATAATGAATTAGTTGGTGAAATATGTACCTCGTTACTATGCCAACTCCAGAGTCTTTCAACTTTGCTGTGCGAAAGATCTAGTATGGCAAGTTTCTTAGCACCAAAATCAGATGAGAACGATTTTAAACGACCCCCTTTCCACTCCAGCCACTTGAGTTCTGAAGGGAATTGGAATTGTCCTTCAAGGTTGATATAATTTATTTGGAGCAATCTTAGGTTGACCATTGTTCTGAGGGGCTTAGCCCGAATTGTAATCTCCCTCTTCTTCTCTGCTTGATGTTTTTGGTACTCTTTGTATCTTTCTTTTAAGTAAGCAATTGCATAAGTCAAACTGGGGCTTCTTTGAAGATTATTCCATAATATTCTGCTACCATCAGGATCCTTCACCATCCTTTTTCTCTTTAAGTCTAGGACAATTCCTTGTGTACATTTTCTTCTCTATTGTCGACAATTCCAACAAAAAAAAACAACAACAACAACAAAACACACACATTAGAAACTTAGATAAAGCCACTCCAAAAAAAACAAAAAACAAAAAAACTAAAAACTAACAAGCAAGTTAGGACCATTTAATACAGGTAACTAGAGATTCTAAAATCTAGAACTTGAGTATGTAAAATATGGTATATAAACTATGGGTTTATCTTCAGTACTCCGTAAGGACCGATCCTATATTGTGATATATAGTAGTAGGATGTGTAACAATGACTTTGAAAAGATGTAACATGAGTCTACAATAGACAAATACTTTTTTGTTATGCCGTGATAATAAAGTTATTGTTACACGGAATAAATATAATGTCATATCCTCGTACATGTTGCATTCAGGATTGGTCTTTCAAGAAAGACGACTTAAGCCTTTGCCCATAAGCTAAATGCTATAGTATAATTTTTACCTCATCATCCAAGAAGACAGTCATGATATCATCACGGTCCCACAGTCTGCTACGCATGCAAGGATCAAGCGGATTTTCATGCCAAACAATTTGTCTTCCCATGTCTCTAACTTGGTCATGCATCCACAGAGTATTCTCTTCAGTAATCTTAATGAGCGATTTTGCCGTGAGGTCTGTGATTGCTGTCTCGGCCCCAAAACCACACGCCTTCAGAATGTCAACTGCATAATCTCTATCCATTCCCATCGTAACAAACTGACACGAGATGTCAAGGAATATGCATTTCTCTTGCTCATCTAGCGCATCATAGCTGATCTTCAAAACGTCTTGAAGATTTGCCGGTCGAATCTGCTTCAGTTTCTGTAGCGCATCTTTCCATTCCTCTATCCTCCTTTTGTCAAAAAGCATAGAACCAAACACTTCTAGAGCCAACGGTAACCCTCCGGTTAACAACACAATTTGCTCGGACAGCTTGAAGAACATACCTGTTGGTTTCTCTTTTCTTAGTGCATGGTAACTAAAAAGTTTTAGCGCCTCAGATGTATCCAATTCTCTGACCTCATACTTCATATCCACAAGCGGTTGTTGTAAAACTTCTTGATCTCTAGTGGTAATAATAATCCTACTTCCTTCATAAAACCACTTTCTTTTAGCCATTACCGCATTTAGTTGGCTTACATTGTCAACATCATCCAAAACCACTAGAACTCGCCTCTCATTTACTATCCGTTTGATTGAAGCAATTCCATGATTAACATCATCTACATCACTACCATTGGAAAGGTCCTTAATGAGTTTGTTTTGAAGAGATACGAGACCATCCTCTTGAGCCGAAATTTCTCTGACACTCGATACAAAACTGCGGTGCTCAAAGTGTCCAACAACTTTGTTGAAGAGAGCCGTAGCGAGGGTTGTCTTGCCAACCCCGCCCATGCCATGAATTCCCAAAACTCGGATTCCATTGGATTTAACATCCAACATTTTTGTCGCTTCTTCAAGGCGAGATTCAAGTCCAACAGTGTATGAAGCCAAACCCACAGGGGTCTTTCTGATTGCGCTCAATACACTTTTCACCAAATGTTTGATTATTTCTTCTTTTTCCCTGTCAGCAAAATGATTATGGGAATCTGTTAAAAAAAATGATTACGACAAGTATGTCAATTGTAGCTAGATATATAAAAGGCACGTAGCACATACCATGCACATGTAAAGACATGAATAACATTTGAAACTAAAGGTTTCTGTATATATTTAATAGGAATGTTTTGATCCACGTTCTGTTCCGCCTTATCTCAAATATTTTACAAATGGTGTTACAGTTATCTCTTCGTATTAAAAAAGCTCTCTTTAAAAATTGTGTCAAAAACCTCTCCTCCATGAAGGTTTTAACACGATTTGTAAAATTTAAGATAATAAGTACAACAATTTTTAAAACATAGATAGAACGTACATGAGATAGTTTAGTTATTATCCTTTTTTTCAATCGACTCCCGAACCATACCTCCAACATGTATTAAAAAATTAATGAATGAAAATGAGAGTAAGGAAAAAGGTACATTCCAATACAGGGATTAAACAATTTAATAAGAGATGAAGTCAAATTTTTTAAATGGAATAAATAACTCATGTTGCCGCATGATACTTGTTTACAAAAAATATATCTTATTCCCCGAAGCACTTTACGCAGAGCTAGCTAGTGATTGAAATGAAGTCGTAACAAGGTAGTCATAATAGAAGGTGTGGCCCAATCACCTCTTTTTTTCTTTTAAGAACACCATGAAAGTTGGAATGTTTTCTAACTATGAATGTTTTCTGAACATTTTTTTATTTGTTTTAAAGAAAAAATTGATTTATTATTTTCCATGCACAGATCAGCAGAGGAAGCCAAGAATGGTTTACAATTATAATTACCCGTTCTTGAAAACCCAACCAGCAATTCCACCGACTTTTTCCATGGCTCTCCTCCACCTTAACACCTTATCAACTCCAAACCTTCTCTCATGAATTCTGAAATCCTCTTCGAACGGCCCGGTCTGTCGCCGGACATGGGACGGATCGACCTGGTAGAAAACCGGCAGGATCAGCTTCCCGCGGCACTCGCAGATCTTGGCCAGCTCCTCCAGGCACCACCGCGAGTCGCCGTACCTCGGCGAGACCACGACCACGGCGGCGGCGGAGTCGTCGATCGCCTCCAGCAGAGACGGCGCAATCTCGTCGCCGCGATTGAGGCCGTCGTCGTCTAAGAAAGCTCGGACGCCTTCTCTATCGAGCGACTTGTAGAGACTCATGGTGAAGCTCTCGCGTGTGTCTTCGCCTCTGAAGCTCAGGAACACGTCCCACCGCTGCCTGAACGCCACCGCCGGAGCCGGCGGCGACGAAACGACGTCGTCTTCCGCCATTTTTTTCACTGTGCGTGTGTACTGTGCAGCGCTACATTAGTGATTGACTTGTACTGTGTTTTCGGTCGATAGCTAGCTGTACGCAAAAATAAGTGGTTCTCGTTTAATGTTGGTACAATCATAATTTTTTTTTTTTTCCGCCCCATACGGGAAGGTTTCTATTTTGAATTAAATAAGCAAAGAATACTGCCATTGTTACGATTGGACGATGAATATCTTTGCATGTGTCGTATTATTTAAGCAGCGCGGAATGTAATTGTATAATGTTTCTATACGGAAGAAACTATTCTCGTATTAATATCTGAAAGAAAAAAAGGACAGGCGAAAGAGAACACATACTAATCCAACCACTTATACATGTGAAACATTTTTACGGCATACTAATGATATGAGATAGTATTCATTTCAAAATTCAAGTCACAATTTAAATTTTATTGTTACAAAATATTTTATTTCACAAATTTTTAAATTTAATTTTTTTATTACAGTGTCTTTTTTTCGTATATATAACTCAAATTATAATTTGAGTTGTGAAATGAAAAATATTCATGAGAATTTTAAAACGTAGGAAAAAATAAATTTAGTAAGAATGCAGTTTAAGGACAAGTGTTGTTTAGGAAAAATATTACTCAGTTGATCAAAATAGAGAGAAAGGAAGGACCATTTTCCTATCTTACATATACGGAGAGATTAAAATTGAGGTTTTTCTAAGGGTATGAAATTACTCACCCTATCCATTACCTTCCTTTTCCTCTCCTACAAAACAATCGTGAATCTCAAAATATTTCTCACAATCCCCTCACACTTATATGAAGACTCTTGTATAAAAGAATATTCATTTTGACATTCAGCTGTAGAAAAATTTATAAATTGGTTCCGTTTTTTTCGCTGATTTGAGTTTAGAATTTGAGTTTTGTTATAGTAATTTTACTCTCAGAAACAGTCACATCTAACTTTTTTACTACAGTAAAAAATTCTCACACAATATCATATTTCAACTCGAATTAAAAACTCAAATTAGCGAACCAAACGGGTTAACTTGTTCCATATCCTAGTTTAGTTTTTGTTTTACATATATTCCACTTTCAAAATCTGTTTTCCTACTGTTGAGAAACTAGTTGTGTCAGGTTTCTCAAGAGAGTGTACATTTACATTAGATAAACTCCGAGCCTTTTTTTTTTTTTGGTCACGGTGCAAGTTGACCTAATTTGTCCTTTAAGTTGTATATGATATTCTGGGCTTGTTCTTTTAATATTTTTGAGTTAGGTAATTTGAGTGTAAATTTTGAGTTAAATTTGAGTTATAACTTGAGTTGAAGTTGTAACTTGAGTTTGTGTTTGGTTGTGTACATTTGAGTTATGATTTAAGATAAGAATTTTTTTTGAGTTTGTGTTTGAGTAAGTCAAAACTTGAATTTATTTTTAGATAGTATTTTAATAAAAACTCAATGCTGATGAAAAATTTCAATATGGTGTATGGGTCTAGTTTTATTCGTCTTTTCATTGTCAACGCATAGAAAAAAAAATCATCTCAATCAGAATTAAAACGAAAAAGTTATAGCATTTTTAAGAATAGAAAAAATATTGTTCATTAACTTGAGTTTGAGTTTCTAAACTCGAGTTGAAGGAAAAACTTGAACTCGAGTTCAAACTTAAAAGAACATAAACTCGAATAAAGTTGGGGCTGATCGGGGAGCTAGTTTTTGAGTGAAAAACTAAAAAAAAGGCAACTCGAGTTACAACTTTATTAGAGTTCACGTTCTTTTAAGTTTGAACTCAAATTTAGAATTAAAATTTAAATTTAAATTTTTCTTTCAACTTAAATTTAAAAAAAAAAAAAAAAAACTCGAGTTAAATTTTACTTTTTGAAAAAGAAAAAGAAAAAGACACTGTAAGTACTTATTCTTCACCCTTCTTATACTTCTTTACCTGCTGGAAGTTGCATTCAGGCTTCAGCTATTACTGAAAGCTGTTGCTTGAATACACCCATAAACAATTAAAAAAAAGTGAATAATTAAAGAACCCTTCTCTTTTTAATTTCACGACTGAAGTAAGAACTTAATGATAATCATCTTCATAAGTGCCTACAACCAACTTGGCTAGTTTTTCTTAGACTGCTGGTTGTCACTTGGCCATTCTTCAACTCCCTCGTAGTTATTATCACTTTCATAATCAAATGATGACGATCAGTATTAGTCAGTGGCAGAGCCATAACGAAATAATGACATGAAAAATATAGAATAAAAAAGGCCCAATATTTTTCAATAGCTACAAAATAAATACATGAAAAATTTATAGAATATATCACAATAGGAAAGACGAGTTCTCATCTTTTGTAATTGTCTAATCTTATTACTAAAAAGTGTTGTGTATGATTTTCTTTTTAAATATTTCCCGATTATGATAATAAAAGAAAATTTTAATAAATTCAAGTAAGTTATTTTATTAAAAAGAGGGACTTTCTTAAGTACTCTAACATACTGATAAGTTAGGTTTTTTATTATTCAAATTTACATAAAATCACGTAAAAATTAAAAAATACGCAGATTAAATAGTTAAAAAATCTAACTTATCAATACACCAGGTGTATCAAAAAATCTTCCCAAAAGAATACTAATAAGTTACAATCTTTTCTTTTTCCAGGAATGGTTTACAATTATAATTACCCGTTCTTGAAAACCCAACCAGCAATTCCACCGACTTTTTCCATGGCTCTCCTCCACCTTAACACCTTATCAACTCCAAACCTTCTCTCATGAATTCTGAAATCCTCTTCGAACGGCCCGGTCTGTCGCCGGACATGGGACGGATCGACCTGGTAGAAAACCGGCAGGATCAGCTTCCCGCGGCACTCGCAGATCTTGGCCAGCTCCTCCAGGCACCACCGCGAGTCGCCGTACCTCGGCGAGAGCACGACCACGGCGGCGGCGGAGTCCGCCAGCAGAGACGGCGCAATCTCGTCGCCGCGATTGAGGCCGTCGTCGTCTAAGAAAGCTCGGACGCCTTCTCTATCGAGCGACTTGTAGAGACTCATGGTGAAGCTCTCGCGTGTGTCTTCGCCTCTGAAGCTCAGGAACACGTCCCACCGCTGCCTGAACGCCACCGCCGGAGCCGGCGGCGACGAAACGACGTCGTCTTCCGCCATTTTTTTCACTGTGCGTGTGTACTGTGCAGCGCTACATTAGTGATTGACTTGTACTGTGTTTTCGGTCGATAGCTAGCTGTACGCAAAAATAAGTGGTTCTCGTTTAATGTTGGTACAATCATAATTTTTTTTTTTTTCCGCCCCATACGGGAAGGTTTCTATTTTGAATTAAATAAGCAAAGAATACTGCCATTGTTACGATTGGACGATGAATATCTTTGCATGTGTCGTATTATTTAAGCAGCGCGGAATGTAATTGTATAATGTTTCTATACGGAAGAAACTATTCTCGTATTAATATCTGAAAGAAAAAAAGGACAGGCGAAAGAGAACACATACTAATCCAACCACTTATACATGTGAAACATTTTTACGGCATACTAATGATATGAGATAGTATTCATTTCAAAATTCAAGTCACAATTTAAATTTTATTGTTACAAAATATTTTATTTCACAAATTTTTAAATTTAATTTTTTTATTACAGTGTCTTTTTTTCGTATATATAACTCAAATTATAATTTGAGTTGTGAAATGAAAAATATTCATGAGAATTTTAAAACGTAGGAAAAAATAAATTTAGTAAGAATGCAGTTTAAGGACAAGTGTTGTTTAGGAAAAATATTACTCAGTTGATCAAAATAGAGAGAAAGGAAGGACCATTTTCCTATCTTACATATACGGAGAGATTAAAATTGAGGTTTTTCTAAGGGTATGAAATTACTCACCCTATCCATTACCTTCCTTTTCCTCTCCTACAAAACAATCGTGAATCTCAAAATATTTCTCACAATCCCCTCACACTTATATGAAGACTCTTGTATAAAAGAATATTCATTTTGACATTCAGCTGTAGAAAAATTTATAAATTGGTTCCGTTTTTTTCGCTGATTTGAGTTTAGAATTTGAGTTTTGTTATAGTAATTTTACTCTCAGAAACAGTCACATCTAACTTTTTTACTACAGTAAAAAATTCTCACACAATATCATATTTCAACTCGAATTAAAAACTCAAATTAGCGAACCAAACGGGTTAACTTGTTCCATATCCTAGTTTAGTTTTTGTTTTACATATATTCCACTTTCAAAATCTGTTTTCCTACTGTTGAGAAACTAGTTGTGTCAGGTTTCTCAAGAGAGTGTACATTTACATTAGATAAACTCCGAGCCTTTTTTTTTTTTTTGGTCACGGTGCAAGTTGACCTAATTTGTCCTTTAAGTTGTATATGATATTCTGGGCTTGTTCTTTTAATATTTTTGAGTTAGGTAATTTGAGTGTAAATTTTGAGTTAAATTTGAGTTATAACTTGAGTTGAAGTTGTAACTTGAGTTTGTGTTTGGTTGTGTACATTTGAGTTATGATTTAAGATAAGAATTTTTTTTGAGTTTGTGTTTGAGTAAGTCAAAACTTGAATTTATTTTTAGATAGTATTTTAATAAAAACTCAATGCTGATGAAAAATTTCAATATGGTGTATGGGTCTAGTTTTATTCGTCTTTTCATTGTCAACGCATAGAAAAAAAAATCATCTCAATCAGAATTAAAACGAAAAAGTTATAGCATTTTTAAGAATAGAAAAAATATTGTTCATTAACTTGAGTTTGAGTTTCTAAACTCGAGTTGAAGGAAAAACTTGAACTCGAGTTCAAACTTAAAAGAACATAAACTCGAATAAAGTTGGGGCTGATCGGGGAGCTAGTTTTTGAGTGAAAAACTAAAAAAAAGGCAACTCGAGTTACAACTTTATTAGAGTTCACGTTCTTTTAAGTTTGAACTCAAATTTAGAATTAAAATTTAAATTTAAATTTTTCTTTCAACTTAAATTTAAAAAAAAAAAAAAAAAACTCGAGTTAAATTTTACTTTTTGAAAAAGAAAAAGAAAAAGACACTGTAAGTACTTATTCTTCACCCTTCTTATACTTCTTTACCTGCTGGAAGTTGCATTCAGGCTTCAGCTATTACTGAAAGCTGTTGCTTGAATACACCCATAAACAATTAAAAAAAAGTGAATAATTAAAGAACCCTTCTCTTTTTAATTTCACGACTGAAGTAAGAACTTAATGATAATCATCTTCATAAGTGCCTACAACCAACTTGGCTAGTTTTTCTTAGACTGCTGGTTGTCACTTGGCCATTCTTCAACTCCCTCGTAGTTATTATCACTTTCATAATCAAATGATGACGATCAGTATTAGTCAGTGGCAGAGCCATAACGAAATAATGACATGAAAAATATAGAATAAAAAAGGCCCAATATTTTTCAATAGCTACAAAATAAATACATGAAAAATTTATAGAATATATCACAATAGGAAAGACGAGTTCTCATCTTTTGTAATTGTCTAATCTTATTACTAAAAAGTGTTGTGTATGATTTTCTTTTTAAATATTTCCCGATTATGATAATAAAAGAAAATTTTAATAAATTCAAGTAAGTTATTTTATTAAAAAGAGGGACTTTCTTAAGTACTCTAACATACTGATAAGTTAGGTTTTTTATTATTCAAATTTACATAAAATCACGTAAAAATTAAAAAATACGCAGATTAAATAGTTAAAAAATCTAACTTATCAATACACCAGGTGTATCAAAAAATCTTCCCAAAAGAATACTAATAAGTTACAATCTTTTCTTTTTTTTTTTTTGGCTAAAATAGAATTTTTATTTAACCAAACGACAACCTATCCAACGGCGCACAGATGCAAACTATAAAAGCCAACGACACAGAAACAATTGAAAACAAGCGACAAAATCAGGCTAAACCACTAAAGGTAAAACGCAGGCTTGGGTGACCAAAAAGTTAGAAAATAACTTATAAAAGAAATAAAAAAAAAATACAACTAAAGTTGGCACAACATTAGAGAATTAAGTAATAAAACTTACAATCGTTTCACAACTCACATATCTTATGATTAAAAAAATCACTTAACAATCATTTTGATTTGTTTTTTCCTTTCCTACAACTTTCCCATTCATAAGGGTAGGATGGATAAAAAGTCAAAAATTAAAGAGTAAAATGAAATAATGGGGGCATGCAAAGAAATATATTATTTGAGTGGGTGCAATATATATCTTAGTGGGACTTTAAGTATAAAATCACCAAATTTTGAGAGAGAATATATTTTTCAAAAAAATTTGAGTGGGGGCCTCCGCCACTGATTACAGTTAAAGAATGTCTTCAGCCATTTTTTGACATTATTCTCTATTTTTTTAGTCTTGAAACCTGATGAGGATAATTGAAGACTGTTTATTCATTTATTTAATTATTTCTATTTATCACTTAGAATGCTACAAATATGAGGTTGGTTACACTTGGAGAGCTATTTTTATTTTGGAATTTATGCTTTTTATTTCTCTCTGTAATTCTCCCGTTAATAGTATTCCCCGGAAACCATACTGGACATCGAAAAAGTAAAAAACAATAAAATATCACTTGTGCGGCTGCCTTCTAAAACTCATAGCAAGTCGTGGTCGGCAATCCATCGTGTGAGAAACCAATGGGCTATGGGCCCAAACAACAGAACAAGCTAACGGGCTCAATTCAAGCCACAAGCCCAACACAACATTTGTGCTCTTCCGCGAGTCTCTTGCACACTTGTTTCCACTTGATCACAAGAGTATTCAGAATTAACGTTAACATCCTCTTCAAATGTGCTGAAAAACTTTGCTAGTTTTTCGGAAATGGATTGTTGGCCTTCATCCAACGACTCCTCGTCACCCTCGTAATCATCTTCTCCTTCATAAACCAAATAAACACCCCACTTTTTCAGCTCAACACCTTTCATGAATGGCGGGGTTCTCTTTGTTACCAAAATTTGATATCCATTTTTCAACTGGGAAACCAAAGGGTGATCGGGCGGATACCGACACAAGTGAAGTTGATCTTCGCCCTTATTCGGTACTCCATTCAAGTTAAAAACCGTGGTGAAGATGGGAAGGCCTTGTTTGAGGATCTGTGCTTGAATGTCAACTATCCCAGGAAGGTTACGTCTGGAGTCATCTTGGATTTGATCGTTGAGAGATACAACTACACCTATAGTTACGCCTCGGAGAGGACTATTCCTGCGTTCTGTGAATGTGACCACATCTTGACACAGCCAATCTGGGATCTTGCTTCCTGGCATGCTAAGATTCCTTATTTTCCTCAAAGAGGCCTGCAACAAATTTGAAGGAACTTATGGAGTTCATTTTTCTTCTTTCTAAAGTTTCTAAAAAAAAAAAAGAAACTCGAAAAACAAACAATGTCAAGTAATATAATGAATTAGTTGGTGAAATATGTACCTCGTTACTATGCCAACTCCAGAGTCTTTCAACTTTGCTGTGCGAAAGATCTAGTATGGCAAGTTTCTTAGCACCAAAATCAGATGAGAACGATTTTAAACGACACCCTTTCCACTCCAGCCACTTGAGTTCTGAAGGGAATTGGAATTGTCCTTCAAGGTTGATATAATTTATTTGGAGCAATCTTAGGTTGACCATTGTTCTGAGGGGCTTAGCCCGAATTGTAATCTCCCTCTTCTTCTCTGCTTGATGTTTTTGGTACTCTTTGTATCTTTCTTTTAAGTAAGCAATTGCATAAGTCAAACTGGGGCTTCTTTGAAGATTATTCCATAATATTCTGCTACCATCAGGATCCTTCACCATCCTTTTTCTCTTTAAGTCTAGGACAATTCCTTGTGTACATTTTCTTCTCTATTGTCGACAATTCCAACAAAAAAAAACAACAACAACAACAAAACACACACATTAGAAACTTAGATAAAGCCACTCCAAAAAAAACAAAAAACAAAAAAACTAAAAACTAACAAGCAAGTTAGGACCATTTAATACAGGTAACTAGAGATTCTAAAATCTAGAACTTGAGTATGTAAAATATGGTATATAAACTATGGGTTTATCTTCAGTACTCCGTAAGGACCGATCCTATATTGTGATATATAGTAGTAGGATGTGTAACAATGACTTTGAAAAGATGTAACATGAGTCTACAATAGACAAATACTTTTTTGTTATGCCGTGATAATAAAGTTATTGTTACACGGAATAAATCTTTAATTGGCTGCAACGGTTTAAGATAAGCTTCTCGAGTTCGGTCAGGTGGAAGATAGATTCCGGTAGGCTTTCTATTGCAGTCTCATCAACTAGAAGCTCTTTCAAAGATCTCATGCTGCCTAAGTTTTCTGGAAGCCGTTTTAATTTTGAGCAGCCAGAGAGGATAAGATTCTCAAGCCGTTTCAATCCGGACACATCGGTAGGGAATTCAATAAGATTTGAACAAGCTGTTAGGTTCAAGTGAATCAGCGCGTTCATATTCCCTATATATTCATCAATCTTAGTCAGGCTTACACAATGCTTGAGGATAAGCTTTTCCAATTTCTGATTTCCGGATAAATTAGGAAGAGCAGCCAGATAGTAGCAATCACTGAGGTTCAATATCTTTAAATTCTCAGCCACCTAAAAAAATATAGCAAAACCTTAAAAAAAAAAAAAAAAAAAAAAAGAAACTCGAAAAACAAACAATGTCAAGTAATATAATGAATTAGTTGGTGAAATATGTACCTCGTTACTATGCCAACTCCAGAGTCTTTCAACTTTGCTGTGCGAAAGATCTAGTATGGCAAGTTTCTTAGCACCAAAATCAGATGAGAACGATTTTAAACGACACCCTTTCCACTCCAGCCACTTGAGTTCTGAAGGGAATTGGAATTGTCCTTCAAGGTTGATATAATTTATTTGGAGCAATCTTAGGTTGACCATTGTTCTGAGGGGCTTAGCCCGAATTGTAATCTCCCTCTTCTTCTCTGCTTGATGTTTTTGGTACTCTTTGTATCTTTCTTTTAAGTAAGCAATTGCATAAGTCAAACTGGGGCTTCTTTGAAGATTATTCCATAATATTCTGCTACCATCAGGATCCTTCACCATCCTTTTTCTCTTTAAGTCTAGGACAATTCCTTGTGTACATTTTCTTCTCTATTGTCGACAATTCCAACAAAAAAAAAAACAACAACAACAACAAAGCACACACATTAGAAACTTAGATAAAGCCACTCCAAAAAAAACAAAAAACAAAAAAACTAAAAACTAACAAGCAAGTTAGGACCATTTAATACAGGTAACTAGAGATTCTAAAATCTAGAACTTGAGTATGTAAAATATAGTATATAAACTATGGGTTTATCTTCAGTACTCCGTAAGGACCGATCCTATATTGTGATATATAGTAGTAGGATGTGTAACAATGACTTTGAAAAGATGTAACATGAGTCTACAATAGACAAATACTTTTTTGTTATGCCTTGATAATAAAGTTATTGTTACACGGAATAAATATAATGTCATATCCTCGTACATGTTGCATTCAGGATTGGTCTTTCAAGAAAGACAACTTAAGCCTTTGCCTATAAGCTATATGCTATAGTATAATTTTTACCTCATCATCCAAGAAGACAGTCATGATATCATCACGGTCCCACAGTCTGCTACGCATGCAAGGATCAAGCGGATTTTCATGCCAAACAATTTGTCTTCCCATGTCTCTAACTTGGTCATGCATCCACAGAGTATTCTCTTCAGTAATCTTAATGAGCGATTTTGCCGTGAGGTCTGTGATTGCTGTCTCGGCCCCAAAACCACACGCCTTCAGAATGTCAACTGCATAATCTCTATCCATTCCCATCGTAACAAACTGACACGAGATGTCAAGGAATATGCACTTCTCTTGCTCATCTAGCGCATCATAGCTGATCTTCAAAACGTCTTGAAGATTTGCCGGTCGAATCTGCTTCAGTTTCTGTAGCGCATCTTTCCATTCCTCTATCCTCCTTTTGTCAAAAAGCATAGAACCAAACACTTCTAGAGCCAACGGTAACCCTCCGGTTAACAACACAATTTGCTCGGACAGCTTGAAGAACATACCTGTTGGTTTCTCTTTTCTTAGTGCATGGTAACTAAAAAGTTTTAGCGCCTCAGATGTATCCAATTCTCTGACCTCATACTTCATATCCACAAGCGGTTGTTGTAAAACTTCTTGATCTCTAGTGGTAATAATAATCCTACTTCCTTCATAAAACCACTTTCTTTTAGCCATTACCGCATTTAGTTGGCTTACATTGTCAACATCATCCAAAACCACTAGAACTCGCCTCTCATTTACTATCCGTTTGATTGAAGCAATTCCATGATTAACATCATCTACATCACTACCGTTGGAAAGGTCCTTAATGAGTTTGTTTTGAAGAGATACAAGACCATCCTCTTGAGCCGAAATTTCTCTGACACTCGATACAAAACTGCGGTGCTCAAAGTGTCCAACAACTTTGTTGAAGAGAGCCGTAGCGAGGGTTGTCTTGCCAACCCCGCCCATGCCATGAATTCCCAAAACTCGGATTCCATTGGATTTAACATCCAACATTTTTGTCGCTTCTTCAAGGCGAGATTCAAGTCCAACAGTGTATGAAGCCAAACCCACAGGGGTCTTTCTGATTGCGCTCAATACACTTTTCACCAAATGTTTGATTATTTCTTCTTTTTCCCTGTCAGCAAAATGATTATGGGAATCTGTTAAAAAAAATGATTACGACAAGTATGTCAATTGTAGCTAGATATATAAAAGGCACGTAGCACATACCATGCACATGTAAAGACATGAATAACATTTGAAACTAAAGGTTTCTGTATATATTTAATAGGAATGTTTTGATCCACGTTCTGTTCCGCCTTATCTCAAATATTTTACAAATGGTGTTACAGTTATCTCTTCGTATTAAAAAAGCTCTCTTTAAAAATTGTGTCAAAAACCTCTCCTCCATGAAGGTTTTAACACGATTTGTAAAATTTAAGATAATAAGTACAACAATTTTTAAAACATAGATAGAACGTACATGAGATAGTTTAGTTATTATCCTTTTTTTCAATCGACTCCCGAACCATACCTCCAACATGTATTAAAAAATTAATGAATGAAAATGAGAGTAAGGAAAAAGGTACATTCCAATACAGGGATTAAACAATTTAATAAGAGATGAAGTCAAATTTTTTAAATGGAATAAATAACTCATGTTGCCGCATGATACTTGTTTACAAAAAATATATCTTATTCCCCGAAGCACTTTACGCAGAGCTAGCTAGTGATTGAAATGAAGTCGTAACAAGGTAGTCATAATAGAAGGTGTGGCCCAATCACCTCTTTTTTTCTTTTAAGAACACCATGAAAGTTGGAATGTTTTCTAACTATGAATGTTTTCTGAACATTTTTTTATTTGTTTTAAAGAAAAAATTGATTTATTATTTTCCATGCACAGATCAGCAGAGGAAGCCAGGAATGGTTTACAATTATAATTACCCGTTCTTGAAAACCCAACCAGCAATTCCACCGACTTTTTCCATGGCTCTCCTCCTGTTACAGTTATCTCTTACGTACAACGTTAAATCGTATCAAATATTTTAGAAGGTGTGGCCGAATCACCTTCTTTTCGGAGAGAGCTAATCATCCCATAACTATTGGCATCTCTTGTGTCATAAAAAACAAGATTAACAAGTAGATTTGTGATTATAGTTAAAAAAGGGATGCATGTACTGACTACCATTTCTCAACAATTTACCCAAAAAAAAAAAATTCCAAAAAGATTACCATTTATTTGACATGGTTCCAAAACAATTATTCAAATTCAAGAATGAAACTGACTTTTTTTTTTCTTTTAACACCACCATGAAAGTTGGAATGTTTTCTAACTATGAATGTTTTCTGAACATTTTTTTATTTGTTTTAAAGAAAAAATTGATTTATTATTTTCCATGCACAGATCAGCAGAGGAAGCCAAGAATGGTTTACAATTATAATTACCCGTTCTTGAAAACCCAACCAGCAATTCCACCGACTTTTTCCATGGCTCTCCTCCACCTTAACACCTTATCAACTCCAAACCTTCTCTCATGAATTCTGAAATCCTCTTCGAACGGCCCGGTCTGTCGCCGGACATGGGACGGATCGACCTGGTAGAAAACCGGCAGGATCAGCTTCCCGCGGCACTCGCAGATCTTGGCCAGCTCCTCCAGGCACCACCGCGAGTCGCCGTACCTCGGCGAGAGCACGACCACGGCGGCGGCGGAGTCGTCGATCGCCTCCAGCAGAGACGGTGCGATCTCGTCGCCGCGATTGAGGCCGTCGTCGTCTAGGAAAGCTCGGACGCCTTCTCTATTGAGCGACTCGTAGAGACTCATGGTGAATCTCTCGCGTGTGTCTTCGCCTCTGAAGCTCAGGAACACGTCCCACCGCTGCCTGAACGCCACCGCCGGAGCCGGCGGCGACGAAACGACGTCGTCTTCCGCCATTTTTTCACTGTGCGTGTGTACTGTGCAGTGTTACAGTAGTGATTGACTTGTACTGTGTTTTCGATCGATAGCTAGCTGTGCGCAAAAACAAGTTTTTCTTTTTCGAGCGATAGCTAGCTGTACTGTATTTAATGTTGTTGCAATCCTACGTTTTTCTTTTTCTTTTTGCTTTTTTCATTCCGCCCCTATACGGAAAGGTAAAAATTCTATTTTGAATTATATAAGCAAAGAATAATGCCATTGTTACACGATTGGACGATGAATATCTTTGCATGTGTCGTATTATTTAAGTAGCGTGTAATGTAATTGTATATAGTTTCTGTAAGTAAGAAACTATTCTCGTATTAATATCTGAAAGAAAAAAAGGACACGCGAAAGAGAACACATACTAGTCCAGCCACTTACAGATGTGAAACATTTTTACAGTATACTAATGATATGTGATAGCTTTGTTGATTTCACAACTTAAGTCACAACTCAAATTTTATTGATATACAGTATTTTTTCTTACAAAACTTTAAATTTAATTTTTTTATTACAGTATCTTTCTCTCACATATACAATTCAAGTTATAATTTGAGTTGTGAAATGAACAATACCCATATGAATTTCAAAATGTAGGAAAAACAAAATTTAGTAAGCACGCAATTTAAGGACAAGTGTTGCTTAAGAAAAATATTACTCAGTTGATCAAAATAGAGAGAAAGGAAGGACCGTTTTCCTACCTTACATATATAGAGCGATTAAAATTGAGGTTTTTCAAAGGGAATGAAATTACTCACCCAATCCATTATCTTCCTTTCCCTCTCCTAGAAAACAATCGTGGATCTCAAAGCATTTCTCGCAATCCCTTCACACTTATATCTTTCCGTCTAATTTTTCTCCAACAAAACAAGTAGAGTGGAAAAAGGAGAGAAGAAACTGGAAATGAAAGAAGTTGTAAATCCATTGCCCATCATTTTTTAATCCTTCAACATTATAAAGAAAAGAGAAGAAAATATTTGATAAAATAAATAGTATGTTCAATAACAATTTTGAATAATAGGATGATCTACTTTTTTGTGCGAGTGTATAAAGGTAACATAAGTTGGACCTTTTTCTTTCCACTTTTCTTTATGATCATTATGAAAGAAAAGTTCACCTATTTTCTTTTTATTTTGATTAGCTTGATATTTTATCTATTTTTCATCTCTCTTAGGAAATATAACATTAAGTGAGAATTCTTTTGTTTTGATACATTGTACCTTTTCTAAGAGCATTCAAAGAAGGCTCATCATTCAAATCTTTTAAATATATGATATCGGAATCAATTAATTATTTCTACACCTTAAATCTTTTTTCATAAGCTTTTTAAATAGAAGAAGTATTGCCAATTATGTTTTTCTCTATCTGATGTGAGATTCAATTAGCTATTAGAGTATTTCCTAGCATTCCCAAATTAAGGTGTCAACGCCATTGGGAAAGAAAATCAGTCTCCATTATAGTAATAAATTTTCTTTCGTGTCAAATTTAATGCCAAATATAACATATTTTATATTTTTGCATTTGGTCGCTATAAAGTTGATGTGTTGAGCTTTTATTTAATATTATTACAACACATTCTCATAGTAAATAGCATATTTATAAAGTTAAATTAAGTGAATAACATATTTTAGAACTATTTGAAATAATAGCAGTTTACAAGGTAAATGAATCATTTACCGCCTAAATGATTCATCTACGGCTAGTAAAAACTTTTTTTTACATAAGGATTTATTTACAACCGGTAAAAAGATTTTTTAATGTAAATAAAAGTTTTTTAAGATTTTTTTACCACATAAGTTATTTTTTATCAGTCATGAATGAATCATTTACATGGTAAATGATTCATTTACTACTTAACTGCTATTTATTTCAAATAATTTAAAAATCTGCTATTTGCTTAATTTAGTTTTAAAACCTGCTATTTACTACAATTTTCCTCTAAAATTTAAAGTTTACTTTTACGAGTCTTTAAATTTAATAATTGTGACATTAAATAGATACAAATTACAACATTTGAAATAGCTTATGCATTAGTATGCTAAATAGAATAACATATCAAACTTGTCATTTCACACTTTTTTGTGTTAAATATGACATTGACATTGACATTTCCATTAGATGAGCACTTCTATTGCAGTATTAAATGAGTGTGTCAATGCTAAAATAAGAGTAGAAAAACTAATGTTAAACACAAATGCTATTTTTTGCGCTAAATTTGATTTATACTATCATATTGAGGGGCATTACATGCGTACGTGCATCACGGGATGTATACTTCCTTATTCCATTGGCATTCTCAAGTTATTGGCAAATTTTTCCATTCTGTCTAGTCCAATCACAGAGCTGCCTGTGTCTGTTGAGTTCATTACCAAATCTGGGGGCTATCAATGGGAAGAAGCCAATTACTAACTTGACTTCCTAATCTCATCCAAGAAATTCTGTTCTTGTTGTGCTTCATATAGAAGAGACAAAGATCACAGGTCTTCCTGGCCAAATTGGAGCCTTGAAATTGTTTGGAGAGTTTCAGATGAGTACCTGTAAATCTCTTTGCTCGCTATCTGAATCAATTGGGTACCTGTTGAGAAAAATTACTATGATCATATATGAATTTGCAGGGAAGTTGGAAAACCTCACAATTGCTTCTTCAACTCACAAATTGCTGAGAGCTCTGTGAGCTTGCAGATTCCATAAAGTCCTTGCACAACTTGCTAATAGAAGACACTGGAGTTACAAAGTTATCTAGAAGCTTCTGTCTCAGCAAAAAAAAAAAAAAAAAAAAAAGGATCTAGAAGCTTGGGATGCTCTCAAGCTCAATAGTTTGGAAAATGACAAAGTAGGATCACGTGGAACTGCATGTAAATAGGGGACATGATATTGATGTGCTTCCAACATCCTTCTCAGGCCTATCCATGCAAAATTTCGGCCAAAATTCTTGATGACTTTGACAAGTTGCCTTCATTAAAGATTTTGACGGAAAAAATGCCCGTAATGTTTCCCTTTTAAAATATGTTCGTTTCATTGATGTACCCAAGGTAAATTATTCATTCGCTCAAGTAAAGCAGCAATCTATTTTTAACAACATTTGATTCGCACTAATATCACGGGGTCTTTGAGGAATATTTGCAATATAAGTATTGCATGGAAACAATATTCCAAAATGGTTTTCTTAACAGGTGCTTACATTCTGCGAACGCAGAAACCATGCCCTCAAACCATCATATATAAAACGACAGCAGATACCGCAACCTGACAGTGTTAAAAATTAATTTTAAGAATTTTTAATTAATGTAATGGTTGAATCTTAGTTATGTTGTCCAGGTTGTTTCTCATTTTGTATTTAATGTTGCTCTAAAATTTTCTATGTGGTTGTATTCTTTCTTAAGGTTGTAAGATGTTGTCCTCTAAAATGCCCAAATAATACAACACACCTTTTTGTCTTCCTTGCTCTCTTCTCTAACTTTTCCTCCAATTTCCTTTTACTGAAAAAATCTATCAGTGGTATCAGAGCACAAATCCTATTTTCCTGGGATATATCTCTCTGTCTTGCTACCAAATGGTGACAAACCCAAATATACTGTTCTAATATTCTCCAAGTCAAGTCCCCATTTTTGACGGAGAGAACTATGACTATAGGTGCAGCCAGATAGAGACATTATTCATTTCACAAGATCTCTGAGATGTGATTGAAGAAAGTTATGAAGAACCACCAAAAGAGATACTAGTGCCTTACAGTACATACAACAAGGGGTAAGCAAAATTATATTTCCCAGAATTTTTGGTGTTAAAAAGGCAAAAGAAGCTTGGGAAATTTTACAAAAAGGTTTTCAAGGCTCAGGCAAAGTCATTGCCATTAAACTTTAAACTTTGTGGATAGATTTTGATAATCTGATCATGAAAGACACTGAGAATGTACGAGATTTCTTCTCAAGGAAATCTGAGATAGTCAATTTGATCAGAAGCTGTGGTGATGTGATACAAGAGGAGAAGATTGTGCATAGAATTCTGAGAAGGTTAACCTAAAAATTTGAGCTTGTTGTTTCAGTGATTCAGGAGTCAAAAGATTTGTCTACATACACCATGTACGAGTTAATGGGTTCTCTTGAAGCCCATGAGAAAAGAATGGCCAGATTTATTGAATCATTGTTGGAGCAAGCCTTCCAATCACAGTTGAATGATGCAGACAATGAAGAAAGAAAGAGAAGACCCAATAAGGAATTTCAAAACAAAAGGCAAAGCAAGAGGCAATTGGAAGAAAAATCAGCATGGGTAGTCCACTTCAAAAGGCGGCAACAAAAATTTTGCTCAATGTCATATATGTAAGAAGAGCAGCCACGCCACGAAAGCAAAGATTCCTAGTTTAGACAATGCAATTGCAATGATTCAAACCACCTGGTCATAAATTGCCCAAAGAGATAGAAGAATGAAGCCAACTTTGTGGAGAGTGATGAATCTTCTGAACAACTATTTTACTCTTACATGAATACTCAAGAAGAACAAGACACTTGGTATCTTGACAGCCGGTGTAGTCGCCATATGACAAGGATAAAGTCCAGCTTTGTCTACTTGGGTGAGTCATTCAAATCCAAAGTGAAGCTTGGAGATGGGAAGTACGTGGAAGTGGAAGGCAAAGGAGACATCACTGTGGAAACAAAGGGAGGTACTTCTAAACTAATTAAAAATGGGTTGTATGTTTCTTCTTAATCTCAAAACTTGTTAAGTGTGGGTCAGTTAATAGAAAAGTATATATGCTCAAATTTGACAGAGATAGATGCACAATAATTGACAAGAAAAGGAATCAGATAATAACTAGAATACTTATGGCCTCCAATAGAGTATTTCCATTCTCTATGACACATAAAGAAAATCTTGTCTTGAAATCTGAAGATGTAGATGAATCCATATTGTGGCACATGAGATATAGGCATTTAAATTCTGAAAGCCTAAAGTTATTGAGAAGACATGATATAGTGATTGAGCTACCATCTATTGACATAAAGGGGAGAATTTGTGAAGGTTGTGTTTATGGTAAAATGCACAGATTGCCTTTTCTAAAAACTTCTTGGAAGTTTTAGCACCGCTTGAATTAATACATG